CCCAGCCTATACTGGAACCTGGGATTGTTACATACACACACAAATACATACGTACACACAAATAAATGTCAATTACATGTCAACCATGTACAAAGCATGGATCAAAACTGTCAAAGAACTGACAAATCTGTTATGCATTACACACCTAAATCTATTTTCACTGCTGAGCACATGCACACTGACCAAGACCCACTTCATTGCATGCTATTTTTTTACTATCTCGTGCGGTTGAAACACAGCATGGTGTGTACTTAAAAAAGGGTTTTTTGTATTTTCCTATATCCACCACATCAGAATCACGTATTTGCATCTACATGATGTGACTTACTTATCAGATCCTCTTCAAAGTGACCTTTAGCAAGAAAATGACTGATTTCTTTATGGACTTTTTAGTGCCCGAGTGACTTACCAACGCTAGCTCTCAAATTTTTACCGTGCCTTGGGGAAATGAAGATGGAAGCATTTTGATCCATTCAAAGACTGTGGTCCCCTCAGGATATCTGCTTGCATGAAAATATACCTAAATTGGTGGGAGAATTTATCTTAGCCCATTTCAGCAACCTTAAAGTAGGGATCTTGTGTAAGCTAATTGTGTAGATGCCTTCTCTAGAGAGGCACTGTGACCAGATGATTCACTTCATCTGCTACAGAGTGCAGGCTGACAGCCAGCTTAAACTGATGGAAGTCTGTGCAGGTGCTGAAAAGGCGTTCTTGTTCCCACACCTGCTTTCATGCTGGCTGGGGACTGGGCAGCCATCCAGATTGGGGAACTGAACCAGCTAATAAACTTAAAAACAAACTAAACAAAACAAAGGATTTATTTGCAGTGAGATCTTCATCAGTGCAATGGTGGCAATGAGGACCTAGACTGCTTAAATGTGAGCATGAAACCGCAACCTGAACATGACCGAGTCATCCTGTGAAGATGCTTAGACATTCACCCTTCCCATGGCTAGATTAGGTGAGATGAACTCCTCCCATGGCCAAGACAGCTGGAAGAACTCATTCTTTGTTCTCATAAAAACCACCACTAAATAAAAATAAAATCCTCCTTTCTATTCCCAGGTGTGTCATTCAAACCCTTACATACAAATGCACATGTTCACAGAGTCTTCAGTGGACTGCCCGCAAAGCTAGTGATAACCATGCTTTAATAATTCAGTTGTAATTAGTTCTATTCCTGTTGTCTTTCATACAAAAAAGACTTGGTTACATATTCTCAGTCTATTCATCATTCTGTGGTCATAACAGCAAGGGGCAGCAGCACATCCTTAGGAACAAAAACAGCCTCTAAACAGAAGTGGGAGAGGCTCAGGGAAAAGCAGGTTGAGTGGGAAAGGAATCTGGGAAAAAACACGCTCTCCCATAGACTTTCAGAGTGACTCAGATGGGAACCTTGAAGTCTGTCTTCAAGCCATCACTTGACTTCAACTTCTATGCACCCACAAGCTCTCAAATGAGATGTGAGTGACAGGGGGGTGTGGTTCAGAGCACACGCCAGTACTGCACTGGGAACACGGGTGAGATGATGGATCCATCAGATCAGTCGTCGGCTCCAGTCCAACTGCACCAGACATTATGGGGTGCTGCACATTGTGACTGCTCTTACTTGACCTATGTCTCCTTTCCCCTCTGTGGAAGATGGAAAAAGGGAAGGGCTGAAAACACAAAGGTCCTAGGCTGATCTTGATAGAGTCCATATAACTTTCTGAAATAAACAGAGTGAGAACAAAGGGTAGGGAGAGAAGAATAAGGACATAAATGTTCACTACATTTCAAATCTTCAGGTGAGGCTGATTTAGGGTGACCATGCTTGTAGGTGCTAAGGTGAAAAATTTTAAAAGCTGGATTTTTGGAGTATATTGAGTAACCAAACTTCTGAAAAAAATTGATGCTTTCAAAGGCATTGCCCAAACTGTGTACAACAATAACAAAAACACCAAAGACTTCTGAAAGCAGAGGCTACAATTCATTTTTTCCTTGTGGACTTTTTAAAAGCAATAAATACAGCAATAATTAAATGTCAGTGTGTATTTCCATTCTTCTGGTATTCATTTGCCAGAGACAAGCACCCTCAAGGAAGCCAAACAGCTGAATACATATTTGTAGAAGACCAAATCAAGGGTCCATATGTTTTAGTAGGATTTCATTGCTCTCTGCAGAAACTGGAAATTCAGCAGTCTTCAAGCATCCACAACTTTTTACTGCCCAGATCAGAAGTCCCCTTTTTGTCCTTGAAGGCTGACTGCTGAAACAGGTCCAATTGCTAGTAGAAGTTGCATTGTGCTCTGGATTGTTTTTAGCTTTGATGTGGTATTTCCAGGAAACCATTTCATGCTGATACACTAGATGACAATTCAATCACATATCCTTACCCTACTGAGCTAATCTTGTTTACTCATTCTTTTTTCTCCCCTGTTAACATGTGACAATTGTATCCATTTCAGTAGCTTTCATCTGTCCAGCATGCCTTTGAACTGCACACTTTCAGAGCTGCTCTGTGCTCTTCTGCAGGCCTGTACTGGTGCCACTTCTATTTCACTTGAACATGTTTTTTTTTTTAAGATTTGCATAAACAGGGAAGAGCAGCAAAATTAAGGATCTCTGATATACTAAGCTCCTCTCTGGGCAACCTGCTCCCTTCCCTTGGGCACATTCCTAAGCGTAAGACTTTAAAGCATTTTTAATCAATGAAGACAGATCTTCAGATTTGAATGGATGAGGACCTTATTTTCTTCCTGTTCTGTCTCTTCCTCTTTTGGGGCAGAAAGTCACAGGACGCAACACCCTCAAATGTCAGCTTTGACTGGGATCTTTTGTCATTCTTCTTTTAGGGCTGGGCTCTGCTTTGATCTACACTGCTCTGACAGCTTATGCTGATAGAGCACCTTTGCTTTATTTTCTGAGTAAGTTAGAACTAGATGTACAGCTCATTTCCACCCCTCACAACAAAGCACTGTGACAGACACTTGTAGCATCACACTGGCTTCACACAGCACATCTGCAACTCAAGTGCTTTCCCTTCCGGAGAAAAGTGCAGGAGCTAAGTACAACATCTCCTGCACTAGCCTTCAGGTTCACTGTTGTTTGTAAAAACTATGTCACATTTATCTTTGAGCTTCCTCATAGTCAGTCATTCAACACTAGACTATCAAGAGCCAATTAAAATACTGCTCTAGGCCTGGGAAATGAGGTGAGGTTGACAAGATAATAGGAGTGGAACAATTAGAGTTAATTAGCCCAGTGGGAAATCCATTCCCAGGCAGCTACTGGTGAGAGGCTGGGTTGGCAAGATAATGAGTCTAGACTGGATATACCAGAACAGGCAAATCTTCATCTGCACAGAGAAGTGGCCAGTACAGGGCTTCTGATTCACCGCCACAAACAACAGTAAGTTCTGGGAGAGTATCAGGCCCTACACAGCCCTAGTGAGCTGGGATGGAGTGTGTGTGGCCACACATGCCCAGGTGAGGTCTCCTCATACTTGTCACCATCAGCACACGCTCCCATGTGCACATGGTATACGTACACCAGAAGTGGAGCATACAAGAACTGCTGGAGGGAGAACACAAGACAGTTTTACTGGAGAGAAGCTGATGAGGCAGGGAATCAGACTGGTAGGAGGGAAAAAGCTACAAAGGCAACTCTGGTAGAGTTCCTCAGCTACATAACTCAACTACGAAGTGTTTCATCCATCTCCCTTTGTTATTTGGTGGTAGGAGAACCAGCCCTGAGGCACCAGCAATTATCCTTTTAGTGGCATTTCAATGGCAATATTCCCAGTTGCCAGAAGCTCTAATAAATAAAATGAAAATACATACTGCTAAATTAGAACACACAACTATAAACAACAATTTTCCTCTTTGCTGGCCAAGTAAATAGCTTTTGTAAGGAGCTACTCTGCTGACTGTTACCCAGTCAGAAAAGAACCAGTTGCTTTTCTTGTATTTCAGAAGTAATCTCAGAGCTTTGGCTTTAAGACAAGCACATCTGACAAAATCAGCTAGGTTTGTTAATGCAATACACAGTTCTTTCAAGCTCTGAATATTTCCAGTGAGAAGGGATTTCCTCTTACCTTTTCCTATGTGTCTCCTGGTGTTTTCTATAGTAGAGTTGCGGTTTACATTTGAGAGCAGTCCCAGGCAGAATCTGTTTTTGTTATTTGAGGGATCTGTAAATCCATCTATAAGGATACTTCGAGAGGAAGCCTGGAAAGTCTCCCCTACCCGGTTGTTGAGTTCATAGTAGGCAACTGAGCACCAGTGTTGGGGTTCCTCATAGCAAACAGGTCGAAAGTCTGTAGGAAATAAAATTAATCAGGTGCTCAGGTCTCGGTAATATTTTTTAAATAATCATTGTCTGTTTTCTTTCCTCCCTCCCTCGCACTCTCACTTCCCAGGCTCTTCATCTAAACAGTCACTTATGCCAGGCTTTATCTCAACAGCAGCTTCTGTTGCTTTTCTTTTTATGACTGAAACCCCAAACATGCAAAGGGCTGGCACACCAGCTTAACTCTAAGCCTCTGAGGAGTCTGACTTGTTCTTAAAAGTGGTAACTCTACTCCATTAAATTAAGCACATGCTGACATTCCTTGCTGAACCACGGCCCAATTTCTACACTGCAAATAGTAAGGGACACATCTGCTCTGCACACCAGCAGGAGCTAGGAATGACAGATGGGCTCAAAGCAAGCCAAAACTGAGCCAATCCTTCAGCCTAATACCAAACTCTGCAGTTCAGAAGGAATCAATCAGGCCCCCCAATATTTTGCATGATTTGGAGCTTTCCACTTCCACGTGGTACCGTAAGCAGAAATGTCAGCAAGGTAATTTCTTTTGGATCTATCCCTTCCCAGGTCTTCTAACTCAAAGACAGAGAAAGACTCAAAAATGTACCAGAGTCTTTGAGTCTCGTTTGTCCCACAGTAATTAGGGGGAAACCTTATCCTGTCTGCCCACCCCAGGCATATGCGACCCCCTTTCCCCAAAGCACTTCTCTGCATAACCCCTAATAAACTTCCAACTAATATTCACTAGGTCAGTGATCATGGATAGTAAACTATAGTAAAGAAATTAAAGTATCTCTACAATTTGTTTAAAAGCAGTGGTGTCTGATAACTAGTTATTATCTGGCCATTCTGTGTACCCATCTGTAATTAGCACTATCACTCTCATCTTCCTTCTGCTCCAGTTCTGTGATACATACATGTTCCTCACTGTTTCAGAAGGCTGGTGTTATTTTTTGAATGTGCATGTGTGTGCACAGTGTTCAGTCATCATGCCATGAAGGACATTTGTTTAGGACTACAATATGCTGGACTAAAAGAAAAATGGTAATTTTTCCTTTGCAGTAGCAGGAAGCCAAAGGAAAACCCAGTAGAGGAACTCCATGTCCCCTTGCTGCTCTGCAGCAATGGGCTTTGAATGGTGGAGGCATCACCTGCCATTACTTGTCTGGAGGTAGCAGAGACCACACTGGAGAGGTCATGAAGTTGCTTTGGGGGAATGAAGAGGATCCCAAACCCTTCTAGTCTGACCACACATGCTTGCTCCCACTAAAGCATTCTTATATGAGGACAGAGTTTGGCCTTCTGTAAAAATCCCTTTGTACCTCACTAGAACATGTCCTTTTCTTTTCTAGCCAGCCAGTAACGTAACATTAAAACAAAGATGGCAGTAAGAAAAATCCCAACCACAAGGCTTTAAAGTAATTGAAACCCAGAACGGAAGGTGATAAAGAAATCAGTTCTGATATTGATAGTGCTCTTTTGTGTTATACTGCCTGACCATTCCTGATTTGATATCTTTGTCTTTACAACAATGTTTGCTTTCATTAACAGCTTTCTAAATGTAATAGTCCATGGATGCAAATAAGGTCTAAACTCTGTAACTTCACACATAATTCACTGAATTCTTCAATCAACCTGTTCTGCTAGCTAATGGACTGGTCTAGTACACAACCTTATTGTAAAACTGTCTGAAACCTATTATTAAGGATCACTGAACCTTCTTGTTCAAATAACAATTTTTTTGCTTAACATGTTTTTTTTTAAGAATAGTACAAATGGTTATTTACTTTCAGCTTCTCCATCGGCAGATTTACCTCCATTGGGCAAAGACAGCACTAGTTGACTTTCAGCTATTGCATCCATTGACCGCCCATTGTGGTTTCCTGGAGGTTCTCTTGCATGGTAAGGTGGGGGTGGAGTTTCCACTATTAGAAAGAAGGAAAGAAAGAAAGAAAAGAAAGAAAGACATCTAAATCAGTACATTGGTAAATTCTGTCTGGCTTTTCCTGGTGAGTACTTAGCACTTATCCAGCATTGTTTAGCTAGAGAGAGCTGGAAACAGAGCACAAATCTGAACCTGACCTCCCTTTAGTCTCCAGATTAAGACCACTGCATGTTCAGGGAGGACAGGAAGGAAGGGCTGTCATGTTGGACATGCTGCACTTGAAAGAAAGAGGGACAGGCGCAACAGTGCCTCAGGCCTAGACCAGTATCTAGTCAAGCTCTCTGTTAGCATGAGTTGTTACCCTAAGAAAATAATGCAGTTTGATCCTTCAGTTCCAGACTTCTCTCCCAAATGTAAAACTTGGAAGAGGATGATTTCAGAGCAGAAGCTAATTGATCCTCTGGGAGACAGCTCTCTCTTCACAGTCTATAGAAAAAGCCTATGGAAAGCCTTTATGCTCTAAAATCAGACTTGGCAAAACTCCCTCTAGATTTGTCCTTTTTACTTCTGTCCTACAAAAGAAGGTTCCCCCTCTTCTGACTTGTTCAGTCTCCCATCAGAGAGTAATGAATGTAATGAAAAAATATGGGGAAAATGTATCAACCCACAACCTGCCCAGCTCCTGATTTGTTTCACTTATGGCACAATAAGCTAGAAAACAGAAGGCGATTCTATAGTGGGGATTCTCAAGAAAGACAGGAGGCTTTAGAAAGCCAAAGAATAAGGGACTTACTTCATTTTCATATTAGAAAATGCTGACATTCACTGCATAAGCACTAAAAGTATGTTGTTTTATTAATTTGAACAGAAACTCAGTGTGCTTATGTGTAAATTATAGCCATATACAAGCTTGCAGGACTAAAGGTCTCTTTAAGAAGACCAGAATTTAACCTGGTTCCAGGTTGAAATTTCTTCTTGTGTTTAGGCTCTGTTGGCTGGCCCTCAAAACAGAGCAACTTCACCCAGAGTTGATAAATGTGGACTGTCTCATAAGCTTGTCTCACTTACTTGTCTTCCAAGCAAGAAGCAAGTACTGCACAGGAATGTTAATCTATTTAAGCACTGTTCAGAATTTAGGAATTTCATACACTATATGATATTTCTAACATATAGATGACATAATCCTCCCACAGAAAATGCAACAAGCTAGAATAGTAAAACAAAAACAAAGAAAGAGTGGAAGAGAATACAAGTCTCAGAATGGAATATAATGTGGTTATACAGGTATTTTTGATGCCTAAACCTAAGCTAGTCACTATGGGCTCTACTTATATCCACTAAAGAAAAACAGGCACTGCAGACATGGTGCATCTCAGCTACTTTAGACATACACCTTAAGATGCAATGAAACTTGTTCTAGGAGTGCCTGTTTTTCTCCACTGATTACAGAAAGAGTATAAACAATTGCATGAGATGTAGAAATTTGCATTGTTGACATCTATATTGGGTCACACCAACCCCACTCGAGGTTCTTGATGTAACTCCAGTTTGCTTTAGATAGTCTTCCAACCCTGATTGTAACACAGGCAAATTATGCTTATCAGCATGCTGTGCGCTGTGATATACTGAAGCTCAGGTTGAACCACTTCCATTTTTAAGTAGCTTCACAAGGTCCCAAGTTCAGTTAAATGCACAAGGCAAGAGTCATTACACAGTCGGAATGGGCCTGATTTACTTGTCAGGACCAGCTCCACTGAATCCAACTTAGTTACACAGAGGTGAACGAAAAAGATGGGAGGAGACAAACAAGTCCTACTACTTGCTTAGATGTTTCGATGTTGTTAAATATGATTTAATCTGAAGTATAGATCTAGAGGAGAAATGAATGGAGAGGGAAGAAAAAATATCACACTGTGTTGAAAGGGTCCAGCTTAAAAAGAAGTTCAAATACTACAAATACCTTGTAAAAATAAACACCTTTCTTGCACTTAAAATCAAAACAGGCATATCATTAAGGACATTAATTTATATGCTTTGTAGTTCAGACACTAAAATATTAAATTTCAAGATTCTAACCTGAATTCATCCTTGTGAAAAAGCTGAGATCATTAAAACTATTGTAACAACAAGGTGCAGAAGCAAATCTGAACCATGTTTTGATATTAAAGATAGCTCTCAGCTGTGTTGCATGACACCTTCTTGGTATATTTAACAGCAAAAGCATAGTTAAATTCTCAGGTAATTAGAACAGTACTAAGTAAGGAGTTCGCAACACAAACAGTCTGAGTTACATGACTCTGCTGACCTCAGAACTGTGGAGCTGATGAAACATGTTCCCAAGTCATAGGAATTTGCCTGGTGGCTTCACCAAGTGTTGGGCCAGACTGTTAAACATCTTAATTTCCCGAAGTTTATACAATCAGTGGGATCACCATACATTAAAAAATATTTCTGCCTACTGATTTCCCCATTTTATCCTTTCTCTCTTGATGGAGCTTCTAAAGGTCCCTATCTTGGCCATGTCTATTAGAGGTGCCTAACTTAGGTGTTGCAAGTGCTCTTTTCCATGGATTGTATCAGAACCTTGGATGGGCAGCTTTAGGCAGAAGGTGGCTTGGCACATCTGGTCCTCTCCTCAACTTTCCCCTTACAGTAATCATGAAATCTCATCCAAACAATTCTAGGAGCTCTTAGTCCCTTGAGCATCCCTCAGAAGGACTGGGAGAGAATACTAAGAGGTGCAAGCCAAAAGGGTGAATCCACTCAAACTACCACATAGCCACAATAAATCATATTCCAAATCCACCCTGTCCAACATTTCAATCTGTAGCTGCAGCCTGGGGGAAGCACACAGAACTGTCACCTGACCCCAGGCCCTGGCAAGGACCTCGACCGCCTCAGTCAGAATGTCTGAAAGCTCATTCTTACCCGTGAGCTGATAGGGACTTCCTGGTCCAGAAGAGCTTCCTGGTGAGTTGGGGTAGCTGATGCTGTTAGGCGACTGGGAGAACATGTGGCTGGGTGATGATGGAAAAGGGGTGCATGGAGGATGCTGGAAAGAATCGGGATAGGTGGCATTGTGCGGCATCAGCGGCTCACTGTGCAAAGAAGTGTTTCGAAACTTGGCGAGGAGGCTGAGGTGAGGGTTAAATTCGCTGTGTCTTGGAACGAGTACAGGAGGTAGGACTGAAAATAAAAACAAGAACAGAAAAAATCTGGTTAAAACTGCACTCTTGAGAGTATATCTCTTCCTAAGTTGAGAGAGGCATATTTCATGCTGCCCAAATATTGCTGTCTATAAATAAGTAATCGAAGAGCAACAAATCTGTCCAAAAACATGAATTAAAAGCTGATTCCCTCCAGATTTGCAGTTAGTTACAGCAATTCCATATGCAAAATATGGACTCATTCCTGACTTGAGCAAGGAACCATAAAATTTACAGGTATGGCATGCGCACACAGCCCTCTTACAGAAATCCAGGTGGCACATTTCTCCCTGTCAAAATTATCTATTCCTTCCTTCCTGAAAGACTGAACTTGTCAGGAGTTTGCTAAATATTATCAACAGGATTTGCCAAAACCACAGCCAAGTTTAATAACAATTAAAAGTGCTCCACAATACACTGCATATTTTACTACCACTGCTTTACAGATGGGCAAAAGGAAGCACAGACCATAAGCTAGACACCAGATTTAAAAGGTTTTCAGGCACTTCAAAATGCTGCCAGCCAGACAGTGGGATCTTTAAAAGGAAATGTAAATGGCAATTCAAATATTGCAGCAATATTAATTTAGCTCTTGCAATATAGTTAGAAAAGATCTAGTGTGAGGAGGCAAATGTCAATGGTTGGTAGTTAAGACATGAAAAATATCGGTCAGAAAACTGAAATCCAAATTAATCTATGTACAAATTGGTCTAATAGAAGATATGGCTTCTCTTCACAATCTCTCTTCACTTACTCTCATACAGTCAGTCCTGTTAACAGCACTGCTGCATTGAGAAACCTAAATTTGACCCAAATTATTTTGGATTCTGACATATCAGGAGAGCACAACTGGAGTCAAAAGCTTTTAGAAAACCCATCTAGTGAGGTATCTATGTAGGTGCAGCCCCTAGGATGGAACACAAAAGAGGCTTGCTAAATAGTTCAGCATATGGGAGTTCAACCTGAGGCTTTAACTTGGTCTCCCATAGTCCCTGGGGAGAGAACAGCACCTACAATGGGTGATTCACGCACCCTAAAATTTCTCTATTGGTTATTGGCTCACGTAGTGCCCAACTGTCTTAGTTAAGGCCTTAAAAACAAGTAGGGGGAATAAATACTCAGTTGCTATTGTGCAGATCTAAAAGCCACCAGGGAAGATAAGGAGGCAATTTGAGTTATTGTGACAAGGATGAATTGTCCCAACACTAGGAACAGTTCAGCACACTTGTATTGATTGACCTAGTGTCCAGAGTTCCTCTGGCCTAAAACCCAGCCGCACGTAATCTTTCAGTCTGTCCTTAGGAGCTTATGGAAATAAATAGCAGTGTGTGCTCCTGCTTATAAATGCTGACAGGAATATATGTTTTGAACGTGTTTTAACATATTGTTTGGGCTCAAAAGTTCTGTCTAGGCAAGGCTAATTCTTTTTAGGTAGGTTAGCTAACACCTTTTAATTACAGTGAACTCTTATTTATGCAGCATAATCAAAGAGTGGAATAATTGCTATAAAGCAAGTAATATACAGATAATGCAAAACATATGCATTAGAAGAGGCTGTAGGAACACCCTCCTTGGAGTGCACCTCAGTGCACATCGATTGCTCAGAGAGCTGAGGCAGTTTAAGTAGGAGGAGGAGGACCAGTGCCTGGTACTAATTGCAAGGGCTATAGCTTCTTGCTTGATGCAGCACTACACTGCACCTGGGGCAGGGTTAAATCACACTCCTGCCCACCCACTGGCATATACCATTTGGGAATTTGCCAGTCACCCATGAACTGAAGAACTGAGCCCTAAAAACATACAAAAGATTGGAACGATGACAAGGAGTCCCCTGCAGAAGGTATCTTCTCACTTGCCTGGAAACACAGGCACTGGTATACCTGTTCAGAGACACTTAACATAGACACTTCTCTGTTCCAATGCATTGTAAGTAGCTTCTGGCCAGCACAAGGATGGTCTTCTGGAGACTACTTTCTTCTGTCTGATGTACCCTTATCTGTGTAAAGAAGATTTTGTTGCCACTCTCCCCTCCCCCTTTTGTAGGGAAAGGTATTTCTGCTTCTTTACCATTTCTTTAGCTTTCTGGATTTCCTAGACTCCCCAGATAGGACTCACACAGGCAATACAGGTATTCATACCTGAGATACACTGCCCAGTCCCCTATGGATATCTTCACTGCCAGTGGAGAGAATCAGACTCTTTCAGTGCTCAGTTCATCTGCTCTATACTGGAACAAGGCCAGTACTACCACTGCAGATGTGGTTTTGGTGAGCTGGATCCCTCCCATCCCATCCTCCTGTGAGCAGCTCAAGGCTGTGAGAGCTGCTGCTGTTTCTGGAGTTTTCCTCTGCTGCTCCATGAAACTGGTATGATGCTTGCCAGGTCTACTGCTGCTAAGCCAGCTCTGACCAGCAGCCCTAGAAAATGGGGAACTGGTGATACCTTTGCACTCAGTAGAGGTGCTGAGCAAGGGACAGCTGTTCCACAGCAATGCCATGCAGTGCTGGTAGGTTGGCACCTTGCTGCAGTACGGTACCACAGGTAAATGGCTTTCTTCAGCCCTGTGAGAACTCAATGCAACTTCTTCTCTAAATGAAAGTTGAGAATCTGGATGCGTGAACAGCACTTGCCAGGAAAAGCCTTTGACTCGCCCTGAGTGAGTCAGCAAGAGGAATTTTCAAGCCTTGAACTCCTTCCCGGCTCTGACCAGGGTACTTTTAATTTCTGCACTGGTGTACAGATTTTGCCACCTCATTCAATCTTTCCACTGACTGCTCTGTGGCTGCCTAGAGGGCTAAAGCCTCTGTGGTGATGAGGAATTCAGAGATTTTCTTGTTTGTGGCTAAAAATTCCCCAGAGGGCCTTACTCTCCTTGCTTTTTTGGTAACAGATGTCACTCTTCAGGGCTCAACGACTCTGAAGGAAGTGTGACCAGAGGCACAAAACTGACTGACTGAGTGCACTGGGACCTGTCTGGTCTCATAGTTTACCTGTGTTGTTTCTGCTCAGTGGAGTCCTTCCTTTTCCTCTACCTGCTATCCTCCACTGAGAGCCAGGGGTGGATCCTTCCTTCTATGCATGCTCAAGTGTTGATGATCTCTGTTCAACGTGAAGACAAATGTTTGAAGTCCTGCCACTGCCTTTCCTGTACTAGGCCTTCTCCTGTTCCCTTTAGCTGCAACAGTTCCTGTTGGAAACCTGGCTGTGCCCAGAGCCTGTGACTTCAGGTGTTAGCAAGCAAACTGTCTGCCTCACAGTTTAAGTCCACGTAAAAAACATCCACCCTGTGATTTCTCACACATCAGCCCATCTTTGCAGAGTTTACTACTTTTAGAGACCTACCTTCCGGTGAGGTCCATCTGTTCCTTATGCCCATGACCATTCACAAACACCAAACACATAGCCAACAGTTACATCATCAGGTGGTCTTCCAACTAGGAGGCTACCACATTTTAGTCCCACTCAGGCTTGACAAAAGCAATCAATTAGTCTAAGTCAAAAGTTCATTTAGGCTCCTGCTGTCTACAGCGATGGTGCACACTAGAATTTGCACTATCTACACATAAATGATCTCATATAAAAATAACAGAGTACATGTTTAGGCAGCTTTTATATTTTTCTGAAACCACAGCTTCTCCTGACCCTTCAGGCTTCTGACCAGCTCTCCAAGGCAAAACACAATGACGGGGGAAGCAGAATTTAACCACCATGCCTATCTCCCTTAGGCTAAGCGGCCTAACCCCTCTCTGCTGTGGGATGTTGCACAGAGGAAATATAGGCTGCTTTTTTCTATATGGCACCTGCTGCTCAGCAGATCTGAGAAGAAATCTGCCACAGACACTGGTAACAGCAGTAAAAGCTATGCATCATCTGTGCAGTATTGGTCAGCATAGACTAGGATGTGGCTGGGCAGGCTGAGGACACAGCAAAGGCAATGATCCCCTGAATCTCACACCAGAGCTTAAAGTTGCTCTCTAGTAATTGAGGTCTAGGGATCTGCCGGGCCATTAAAGAAAGGGTGAGGCCCTCCCATCTTTGACATAACAACTCATGCATCCTGAATAAAAGTTAACGGATCTGGTCACAGAGCGGTTGACTTGGCAAGACAGACTGCAGTGACGAAAAGTGAGCCACAAAATGATGGGCGTTTGTATGAAAATAATACTGGCTTGTGGATTATCAAGAAATGCACTGCTGACTAATTTCATGGGTGAATTCTTTAGCTCCAGAGGACAAGATTCAGAGAATCTCATGTAAGCCTAAAATCACCAACAGTCAATATGCAGATGATTTTCTGTAATTAAAGAGGACTGTTGTTTAAACAGACTTGCACCTATAGAGCAACTGTTTCCAGCCTTTTCTGTGGCAAAGTCACTGCTACTAATTTCTCCTCAAGCTCATTTCCCCTCTTGCCTCACCTCCACCTCCTTGCAGCACTGCCTTCTAACTGCCTCTGGACTGGAGCTGCATTTCTGCCACTTAAAGTGGTGTATGTTACCTCTCCTGCTGCTGCCCCAGCACACCTGAGCAGGTGTTACTCCTTGCTGCACTGCCTCTTGTGCTGGGGGTGACTCACTTGTGAGCTTCAGCTTCTAAGCCATCGCCGTAACAAGAGCAGTAGGGGTAAATACACACAATCACAGAATGGTAGGGGTTGGAAGGGACCTCTGGAGATCATCTAGTCCAACCCCCCTGCAAAAGCAGGTTCACCTAGAGCAAGTTGCACAGGACTGTATCCAGGCAGGTTTTGAATATATTTAGAGAAGGAGACTCCACAATGTCTCTGGGCAGCCTGTTCCAGTGCTGTGTCACCCTCACAGTAAGTAAGTTTTTCTTCATATTTAAGTGGAACCTCCTGTGTTCCAGCCTTTGTCCTATCGCTGGCCACCACTGAAAAGAGTCTGGCCCCATGCTCTTGACACCCACCCTTTAGATATTTGTAAACATTATTAAGGTCTCCTCTCAGTCTTCTCTAGACTAAGCATACTCAGCTCTCTATTTCCTCATAAGAGAGATGCTCCAGCCCCTTAATCATCTTTGTAGCCCTCCGCTGGACTGTCTCCAGAAGTTCCTTATCTCTCTTGAACTGGGGGGCCCAGAACTGGACACAATATTCAGAGATGCGGCCTCACCAGTAGAGGGGAAGGATCACCTCCCTTGACCTGCTGGCCACACTCAATGCACCTCAGGATACCACTGACCTTCTTGGCCACAAGGGCACATTGCTGGCTCATGGTCAACCGGTCATCCACCAGGACTCCCAGGTTCTTCTCTGCAGGGCTGCTTTCCAGCAGGTCAACCCCCAACCTCTACTGGTGCCTGGGGTTATTCCTCCCCAGGTGCAATACCCTATGCTTGCCCTTATTGAACTTCATCAGGTTCTGTGCCCAACTGTCCAGCCTCACTGAATGGCAACACAGCCCTCTGGTGTATCAGCCACTCCTCCCAGTTTAGTGTCATCAGCAAACTTGCTGAGGGTACACTCTGCCCCTTCATCCAAGTCACTAATGAATATATTGAATAGGACCGGACTGACCCTTGGCGAACCCCACTAGCCACAGCCCTCCAACTAGACTCTGCACCACTGATTAAAACCCTCTGAGCTCTGCCATCGAGCCAGATGTGGGTCTCTCACTTGCCTCTTCCTAAACTAACTTGCTATGGACCAGCTGTTTCTGTAGCAGTGAGAGCACAGTCATCCCACTTGTATCACAAGCTGTATCAACATTTCCTTCAGAATGAGAATTTTAGTAGAAGCTTTCAGACAATTTACACATTTTTGTACCATTTATCCATTGCAGCTGAGGCCTTTTCAATACCCAGCTTCGAACAGGTTGCCCAAGGAAGCTGTGGATGCCCCCTCCCTGGAAGTGTTTAAGGCCAGGCTGGATGAGGCTTTGAGCAACCTGATCTAGCAGAAGGTGTCCCTGCTGATGGCAGGGGGATTGGAACTAGATGATCTTTAAGGTCCCTTCCAACCCAAACCATTCTTTGATTCTATGACTCTGTGCAACAGAGCCCAACAACAATATACAACAGCCCAAGAACAATTCCCAGGTCCTGTGGACAACTGGCACAGCACAGCTTACATTCTTGCAGCTGTGCTCTCCTCCTCCAAAACAAGGTGGTCATGTCCAAAGTGCCTGAAGTCCCACCTGTGGGCTAACCCCTGCACCCTGAGAACTACTAGTCCATGCAAGTCCACACAGGTCACAGCTGGGCCCAGGAGCAGGCTACCAGTTCAGCAATACTCAGACATGCACCTTGGTCCCGTCTCATTTACTAGTAGAGAAGTAGCCAGTCTGCTGCACAGACAAATGACAGAGACATGTTCACAGCTGAAACCTTCTGAGTTTCAGAGGCAGAACAACAAGCTCTGGCAGCCATTTAGCAGCTGCTGGATTATCCCAGTGCTAGCATCTGTTAGCTGGCACTGAGCAGATCAGAAGACTGGGGTTGAAAACAGCACTGTGCAGTGCTGTCAGCTACCACACTGAGGAGACTCCATTAACTACACTGGAGTTACACCAGAAAAAAAATGAGAAGACACTAAAGACTGCAGCCTTCAAAGAGAAAGATACACAAAATGGGATATTTTATGAGCATCTTTTCTTAGGTTCTTGAAGAGTTTATTTTAGCAAGGCAGGAGATCAGCTCTTTCCGCTGAAAACTGTTGACAACAAGCACCACTCACTGCAGCTGTAAAATTTTAGTTGTGACAATGTTTACAGCAGTTCAGATACAACTTCAAAATGACAGCTCTGCTGTAGTGGAAGGACTATCAGAAAAGGGAGCAGTCCCTGTTGTTTAACAAACGTTAACAAATGTCTTTCCCTTATTTCATCTGTGTGAAAAGAAACATCCCACAGTTCACTTATCTGATCCTAATGTCACCTCAGAGTAAAGTTCATGCCAGACAAAGAGTAATCACAGAATAATAAGTATACACTTACCAACCACATCCATTAGTAAATTAAATTACTGTGATTTTTGGCAGCAAGGGAGAGCTAGGTTAGACATTAGAAATAATTTTGAACTGTAAGGATAGCAAAGCAATAGATTCATTTGCCTGGGGAGGTTGGGGAGCCTCTATGACATGGGATTTTTAGAGCTTATTAGAAAAACATCTGTCAGGAATGTAGCTGGTAATTTGCTTTGTTTTGGGAGTAGGGACAGAGAAGAACAGGATGACTGCTCAAGATCTCTGCCAGCCCTGCTTTCTAAGATGCCTATAGAAGTCAACACTGAACACTATAATTTTCTAACAGCTGTTCAGCTGTTTCATTAACACAAAGCCCAATTAAACAACCCTTCAGTGAGGTCCTAAACTTTCAGTGCTGACCAAGTCCAGCCTAAAGAGGATCATCAGTGGAAAAATGCAAAGTTTTATGGGAACTTGGGGGATTTATTTCACATAAACTATCCATTCAGGTAAGTAAATCCCACTGAAGGCAGGCCACCAGGGATTTTAGGAAGAATAAACTGACCTGGTTTCACGTCCACAGCAAAACAAGCCATCTTACTGCAACTCTGATCTTTAAACAGAGTGCTAGTGATATGTTTTTCCTGTGGATTAAAGAGTTGGTTTTCAGACGATAAAACATAAATCTAACCAGGTTGGTAAGTCTAGGATGGGGCCCAGACTTCATGCAAATGGACACCAGTTTGCTGAAGGAGGGTTTAGGTAGCAGCCAGCACCCACATCCATGGAAAGGAATCTCGCTTTCAGCACCCTGGACAAGATCCGGGCACCCTCAGGGGTCCGGTGGGACATGGACCCCACAGGACAAGGTGCTCCTTACTCCCGGCTGCCGGAGCTGTGATGCCACTGGGCACAGAAAGACCTAGGGTCCTTCCATCAAATGGAGCCTGCTTTTTCAGATTTCAGAGCAGAACTTGGTAGGATTCATCAAGATTAGACCTGCCAGTGCAAGAGCTAATAGAGAAACGTGAATCATTTGCAGATGATATAATTACCTGGGGTTTCCACCCGCCGGTAGTGGTAGGGGTTAATGCACACTTCTTTCTGTTTTGAGCCAAACGGGAACTCACAACATTCCAGAGGTTTCAACTCATGGTGAGATTGTAAATCAGGCCAGCGCCACACTCGGCAGTATATGACGTGGGGAAGCCCCTTGCGGTGAGACACCTGCAGCCGCCCATCCAAGGAACGTGGGATCGTGACACATTTACTGGGCTGACCTGGGCAGCTCAGAGCTCTTTCTAGTTCTTCCATGGCACCTTTTTTCTTCTTTAACTTCTTCACCAAGGAATCAACAGCTTTTTCTGCCCACTTTTCCTCTTCATCTCCTTGTTTCCAGCCCAGCAGCCTTTTCACTGCAGGGCTGGTGAAGGAGAACAAGGAACTGATAGGGGTGCTGGAGTGCATAAGAAGCAGAGATTACACACGACTGTCAACAGAAGCACAGATCACTCTCCTTGTCTTGCAAGGCTTGCACGGAGTTTCCACAGTATTGAGATGGACGCTTCCTTCAAGGAAAGATTCTTCCACACACAGGTTTTTGCAGTCTTAGGCACTGTTCACAAGTAGTACAACAGGGTGGGTCTCAGAACTTTCCAAACATCAAGAAACTGCTGATGAAGCCTGGAATAACAAGACAATACATCGTTAGGTTTCACACACTCCTTTCATTGTTTCTTCAATAAAATATTTTGAAAGAGAAATTATTCAAAATGTATATTTAATTTTCAAACGTTCTCTGCTTGGTTTTTTGCTGTTTATTTTGGGTCCAAGCCTATCCTCCCCAGTACCCTCCACACTCATTTTAGAGCTGGACCTCAGAAAGCATTAAGCTCCCAGTAACTTCAATTTGTGTTGAGAGTTTAATGCACCAGGCAAACTGTTGCATGATTTGGATTGTATTTACTACAAAATAAAATTGAACTGTTTTGGTTTTGGGGTTTTTTTTTGTGCTGGTAGCTGTAGGTTCAGCTCAAGCATCTTCTACAAAATTAAATCTGTAACATTAAATTTTATGGAAGTAGTGAGTAGAGTATTTTTCTGATTTCAACTCTCTCTCTCTGCCCCTCCAAATTCACTCCACTGTCAAGAGTTGTACAATATTAAATGAAAAATTAATTTAAAAATCAACTACTCCCAGATTTCATTTAGTGCCTTTGAAAGATCTATCACTGTTCTCTAAGCTTATTTACATTTTCTCACATGCAAGAGAAAAATCTTGTTTGCCCAGCCAGTCTGTTTCGCCCTCTCCAACAATTCACATTTTTTTGGATGAAAATCACAGACGTTTGGACATGGTTTGTGCTGGATGGATCCCGAGTTATTTCTGCTAAGAGCTGCTACATCTGACAAAGTCCAACAGAAAGAGTTTAGTTCTTGAGGGTTTTCCTTCTCTTTAAATGTAGCTGGAGCCAGTCTAATTTTAGCTGAAAATGACATATTTCCACTGACTGGAACTCTGAGGAAAAAATGTCCTTGTATGTCAAGCTATTTACTGCTTTAAATATACTTCATGGACCCCCTGTGCATATCAAGTCCAAAGGACTGAACTATACAGTGGGCACTTAAAGCAGGAGATAGGGGCAGCTTCCAAATGGATGCCTCCAGAGAAGTAGCTCCATGACTGCCCTACTCTACCCTTGCAAGACGACTTGGGTCCTTCTTGCCGTGCATCAGTAAAGGTCTGGACATAGTCCTCAGCACTGCTTATATGCAGCCACTGAGGAGACAGAGAGATATTGCCTGGTGTTCAGAGCAGCAGGACTTAATAAACCATATTATTCTTCAGTTTCCTTAAATGCACAGCCCTCGTAAGAGCTCAAAGGGCACCTGGGGACACCAAGTGCAGGCACAGGTACAACATACTGAGACAGGAGGCCAATCACAAAGACTGGTTCCTCAGCATATCTGATATGCTCAGCACCACCCAGCTCTGGATCAGGCTGCAGGGTAAGCACACACAGCCCAGGGCATCAGAGCCTCTTAGGTACCGTGCAGTGTTTACTGAGGGTAAATGACTGCCTAAAGCTGTTTTCCTCCCAGACCTTCTGTTTTGCTCTCATGCCCATTCCTCTGCCCCGCTGTGTTACTCTTTAAGACACCCAGCACCCTGAGAAATGTAGACATGTGTATACCCAAGGAGCTTTTTCCTTTCTTCTACAAGAGCAGCAATGATGAGGGCAGGGGCTCGAATTCCCAAAAGCCTTCCACAGAGCTAGGGAGATGGAAGCACTTGGCTCCACAGAAGAAAAAGCATCAAAGCAACTCTTTGGCATGTCACAAGCCCCAGCAGCAGCTGCTATTCCCCCAGGAGATTCATGTTGCAAGCACCAGTGGACAGGAGGCTGCATGAAAATATGAAGAGAGTTGCTAAAAAACTGCAAGGAAGAGCAGGCACACCTTGATTCAGGTACCCACCACAGCACTGAGCTCTGGCTTATGCAGTTCCTACATTACCAATCTATGCATATGTCCAGTTGTCGTCAACTGTCAAGAGAAGCTCTTGGTAGAGCACGGCAGAAATTCAGCAATCAATGATTGAATCCATGGAACTGCTGAAACTTGTCCCACCACGCAAAGAGAAACTTCAGCTTTCAGATTTTTTCCGCTCTCTGTATTAGTAAAAATCCAGTGACTTATAGCATTTAACTGGATAGTTACTAATGTCTCTTAGTCAAAAACAAAGTCTGTTCCAAACACCTACAGGGTACATGTGAGAATTGAATAAGTTCATAATGATTTATCACAGGAAAAAACCCTCAAGCTGCTTGTAAAACATAACGTGGATAAAATTTAGGCAGGCAGTCTCCAGCCTTTGTGGAAGCAGGCTCAGCCTGCAGAGCCCAGCGCCAGCCCCGTCTAGGCATCCTGTGCTGTGGAAGTATCTGTCCCTCACTGCCCGGGTGAGAACATGGGGAGGATCTATCAAATGCCACCGCACCGCTGTCATTGCTTGGCAGCACTAAACCCCATCCTCACATGAGAAAACGAAACAATGCTGGGATCTCTGTGGATCAGCCCTGAAAGCAGCAACAGGAAGCAAGGAGAGCCTGGGATGAAAGCCCACGGGACCAGTAGTGGTGTAGAAGTCCCTGCTCCGGGTTGAGAGAGAAAATGGCTCACACTTCTTATCTGAGGGGGTCTCCCAGGCGTTAGCATGTGTAAACAACTGCCCCTGATAAGTTAATGCAATATTACAATAATCAGATATGAAAACATACATGTTCACATAAAAGTATTGTCCCGGGATTTTCTTTTCCATTTTGACCGAGGTTTTAAATAAACACATTAATCTCGTTCAGTCAAATTAAATAACTCAACAGTGACATCAGTATGAGTCTGAGCACTATTGTTGCTAGTGGGAGAGTGGCCAAGACTATGTGTATAAAAGCAAAAGCCGTGCTTTGCAGACCATGTGATGTAGTTTCAGATAAGTACATTGCACAATTTCCTACTGTGCTCCCCACAGTTTCTTCTAAAATCTTTTTTTTTTTTCCCAAATTCAACTGACATACAAAATATAAATGGTATTAAATAAATTAAATAGCTTTCAAATAATATTATTATCAGAACATCCTGGTTTAATGTTACTAAATTACATAATACTTCATATTATCGAGCAGTCTAAGCCATGTGTTGCTAGGCTTAGATACTCCATTATGAAACACCTCGGCAGCCACTCTGCTCCAGGGCTGCAATGACAGAGATGTCAATTCACAATTTAATTTTAACAGTCTTTCAGGACAGCAGTTGCTTAAGCAGTATGTCTTTTGTAACAAGCAACTGCCTTCCCAGCTGGAAACTTCCAACATTGAAATGTTTCAAACCCACGTTTGATGTATTTTCTCTGCTGATGATCCATCATGTTTCTCAATGCTCATTGCTTGAGAGCGGCAGCAGGGAGGGAAGTGTTACAGTTTTGATGCACATCCCCACCACACATGTCAAGGCCTGGGCCATACCATCATGCAAGTTCTGTTCTGGTTGCCTCTATCTCCCTCAATGACAATATGATGTACTGTTGTCAGTATGAGTTAGTTGTCATCATTCCCGGTACATCCCTAACATGATTCCCTCCTGTGGGACTACAAGGAAGGCTTTGTCTATCTGTCAGGTAAGTGACTGGTCAACACCAAACACAGTCAATCTTCCATACTGTAAATCTTTATTCCATTGCCAAATTTAGCCTAATATCTGAAGCTTGTTTTAGGGGAGAGACAGAAAACATATGGAATATAAGCATGGACCTACCCTTTCATTTCTGTGGTCTGCAGAAGCAGGAAAAGGTGGGACTGGAAATGCTTCAGCCAGTTCACTTGCTCCATTCTCCCTAAACATAGGATGCCTACCTTAGCTATGGCTACACCAGTGCTGGGAACATTTCTGGGCACGAGAACTTGATTATCCTATAGCATAAATTATTCCCACAGTACCTGGAACAGCTTTGGTCTGTACTAGTAGTGCTCTCCCAAATAACTCTAGTGCATAGTTCAAGAGTTAGCAGGGACCCAGGGTCACTCCTAATAAGAAGCCTGCATGGAGCCACCTCATTTTAGACACGGAGACAGCTGTTGCATGGAAGTAAGCCTCTTCATCCCAGTTGGCCTCAAGGCCAAGAACAGTACTAGGCATGTTTAATTTATTAGTATGGAATGAGCCTTTCAGTAGAATTTACTTGGCCACATAAAGATGTCCAAATTATTGACACTCATATCTGACCTACTCACCTTCAAGTCCCTAAATACCTACTTGAGAAAAGCATGCGTGTACACATCATGGACCATTCCACCTAAAAGTAAACATCTAGAAAAAAATTAGCAAAATCAGGTACTGCATATCACAGAATCACAGAATGTCAGGGATTGGAAGGGACCTCGAAAGATCATCTAGTCCAACCCCCCTGCCAGAGCAGGAACACCTAAATGAGATCACACAAGAAGGCATCCAAGCAGGTTTAGAATGTCTCCAGAGAAGGAGACTCCACAACCTCCCTGGGCAGCCTGTTCCAGTGCTCTGTCACCCTCACCGTAAAGAAGTTTCTTCTCAAGTTTAAGTGGAACCTCCTGTGTTCCAGCTTGTGCCCACTGCCCCTTGTCTTATCATTGGTCATCACTGAGAAGAGCCTGGCTCCATCCTCGTGACACTCACCCTTTATATATTTATAAACATTAATGAGGTCACCTCTCAGTCTCCTCTTCTCCAAGCTAAAGAGACCCAGAAGCTAATGCTGGGTGAGACGAGTCTCACCTCAAGTCTGAATGACTTCTAGGCTAAGACCCAGCAACATGGGCACAAAGTGGAAGGGACTACAATACTTTCTCCTACTTCTAGGCCTGTTTTTCACCCTCCAGTGTAGAATCAGCCTGTAGGTCCTCAGGTCAACAGTGGAAATGTGTTCCTCCAGGAACTTGACTGCAGTAACTTCCACTGTACTACTGAAGAGTCTGACACACCAAGACCAGAGAAAAACATAGATGAAACACCATCATTGGGGGCTTACTGTTTCTTAACTGGAGCCAGGTCCTGCCGAAGTCAGTAAGAGGGATTCTAGAGCTCAAGGAAATGAAACATGCTCTCCTCTGTCTCACATGGCAGCATGTTGACACTTCCACTATGGAAAG